GGAGCCCGATGCGGGACTCGATCCCGGGACTCCAGGATCATGACCTGAGCCGAAGGCAGTCGCTTAACCAACTGAGCCACCCAGGCGCCCGATGCAGAGAATTCTAAGAAGGAATTGTGATTACATTCTAAGGACAAAATCAGGGGAAATGAGGTGGCATTAGATTTCCGTATTTCTTTCTCCTGGGCCTTTTGGGAACCCACAGTGTGTCTAACGGGGACGCTTGGTGTGACAGTGTACACCGTATGCTATACGGTGTATGATTGGGGGCTTTCTGTCTGTGCTCTCAGTGCATAGGGTGGAGGCTCGTGCATACGGGCAGATGGGGCTGTGGCGGGGACATCACGGGGTGCGAGTTCCAGTTAGATGCGGACACCAGACACCGCTCTGGCCTCAAGCATCCGAACCACACACCCCCTATCTGTGGGGCCTTCTGCGCTCCCCCCTCCAGATGCTCAGACTCTGTGTAGCATGGTCTAAAAATTAAGCTCATCCCCCCAAAGTTAGGATTTAGATCTGGAATCATTGCCGACCAGCAGCATGACCTTCATGATCCATCATCTCCTGACCTCGGCGACCTCAAGGGCACCGTCCGGGACCTCCCTTGCTGCCCACGTCCTGTGTGCCTGTGGTGCCTTTGTCCGAGTGAGCTCTGACAGCCGTCTCTGCCCCGGTCTCTGTCCACAGCAGTTACACGGGAACAACATACACTTCACCGATGGCTATGAGATCAAGGAGGACATCGGGGTGGGCTCCTACTCCGTGTGCAAGCGATGTGTGCATAAAGCTACTGAGGCAGAGTATGCCGTGAAGGTAAGACCACGCACGTGCGTGCGGGCTCCTCGTGCCCTGACCCGGCGGGCCTGGCTGAGCCGGCCAGCCTCCTCCCCGTGCGCCGTCCCACAAGCTCTAATACGACGGAGTTCAGTTTGCTTTGACGCCAGGTCACCCGTTCAACAATTATTTTGCAGATCATGAATATTTTGAGTTTTATCCAACACATAAGTACTGACCACCTTTAGTAACTTTATGTACAGTATATGCCCTGAAATAAAAGTTTGGGTGCTCAGTGTTCTGGAAAATACAGCTGGGGGACAGGCACACTGTTGTTTGAGCGGGCCGGGGGGGTGGGGAGAGGAAGAAGCTACCGTCACCGAGAATTAAATCAAAGAAATGAATAGAGGCAAAACTGGTGATACCTGTGTAAACTTAATCAGAGCGCCGGTAGTTTTACTCGAAACCATCAAGAAAAGTCAACAGTAAGAATTATCTAGAATTATCTAGAATCCAATCTCTACATAATACCTTTAGCTTCTGTAATTGTTGCTAGGTTTGATATTTGATCTGGAAATCCCAAACACCAGTTTCTTGAATTTTCTTGTTGGTGAAATGTGGACTAAATCTGAAGCTGCCGGCCAAAAGCATAACCTGATGTATGTAAAAAGCATAAACTGTGCATTCTCTCCACAAGACAGCCAGAGATGCTCTAACTCCACCACTTCCCCGCTGAACTGACCTCGGGACTCTGGAGAAGCCGGGCATCAGCGCGGCCAGACCCAGACATGTCTGTGCCTCCTGGCACCGCACCTGCCCGTCACGGAACATCCGGGGAAGTGTGGAACTGTCCAGCAGCAGCGTAAAAGGAGCGCTTCCTTCCATCGTGATTTTCCTAAGCTGGGAAGAAATTATTCGAGGTGATGCCTGTGGGGGATGACCCCGTTCCTTCGCGGGTCACCCATGCCCCATGCTGCTTGCACTGAGAAAATGTTCAGCTCTGTCAAAAGAAGACACCAGCCCAAAAAAACTAGGCCCTGCGGTCTAGTTTGGGTTGCAAATTGATGGCTTGTTGACAAATGTATCCTGAAGTCCTCAAGCGAGAAAGAACGTTTGAAATACAGAGCTGCACAGACTCTCGGCGCGCGGCCTGCCCGGAGTCTGCAGCACTGTACCCGGAGCCGAAGGAAGGGGTGCGGCACGCTTCCCGGAGCGGCGGGTCCAGGGACACAAGCGCCGCTGTCTGGCCCCGGGGTCCGACAGCAGGTGCGGCCCGGGCCCCGGAACACAGGTGGTGTCGCTGGCAGTGACCGCTGCAGAAGGGGCGTGTGGGGCTCCATGCGTTTCTAAGACTTGGGTTGATGAGGACTTTCGTGTTTCCTCCTCCCTGGGAGCGTTAAGAGGACGCCCCGTGTGGATGTGGATGCTGCGCTGGTGGGCAGGTGCGCCCGACGCGGGGTGTGCACCTGCACTCTGCCCCCTGGACGAGAGGATTGCACGCGGGCCTCAGAGCGCAGGGCACGCGTGCGTGGGCTTCGGAGAATTTTTTCTGCCTGCGTCCTTTCTCACAGAATTCTTCAGCCGTGTATCGGGTGTCCAGCAGCAATCCTAGAAACAATCGCTGCTTCCAGTGAGCACGAAGAAACGCGTCTATTGTTCGGCTGGCTCAGTGACCACGATGCCCTTCTCGAAAACAGCCTGCCTCTGTGAGGCCGGTCAGCTGCGTTTTGTGCCTCCGAAAATAAATCTCCCACTGACAGAGGCAGTCGTGTGTCTCCCGGTGCTGTCCCCATGGCCAATCCTCTTATAAAAACACGATCTGAATCCGGCTTTGTTCCATGGCTTTACCTCGGTCCCCGCACCTCCCGCTGGGGCCACGCTGGGCTGGGGGCTTCTGGGGCATCTCAGCCCAGGGCCCAGGAGCCAGACTCATGGCCGCAGCTCGGTGCAGCAGAAAGAAACAGGGTCTTCCTGTTCTTTTTTTCCAAGCCTTGAAGTTCCCTGGACAAAGTGAGCTGGTGGACCTTGCAGGATTTGCCCCATCCTCACTGAGACCACAGTGGGTCCTAATTCATTGTCTGGAGGGTGTGTAAATTCACCCAGCGCAGGGGGCGGGGGGCAGCTGTGGCCCTTCGCTGCACAGCCCCCGGGACCCAGAGCTGGGCCAGCCCGTGTAAGCTGCTTGTTGCAGGGACAGTAGTCAGGTCCTGGGTCCTGGTTCGGATTTCCTTCAAAGGCAAAAGAACTGGCCGGCGTTTCAAGGCAAAGAGCTTCATATTCAGGATGGGCCCCTGTGTTACCAAAATGTTGTAACATCCTACCGATCACTCCTCTGTCTCGTCTTCAGCATTTCCCAGGTAGAACATAAGGGAAATATTCTTTGGCCTCTGTCTGTGTCAGCTGACTGGTGGATGAGTAGCAGTTTCCCCACTTAGGGGTGGAAGAACTAGAAAAACTAAGAACGTCTTTTAACAGCCGAGCCCTGAGAGCGTGGCAGTTAATGACTTGGCATGTGAGCCGGACCTCAGGCCAGCAGACGCCCTATTGAGCCCCTGCCGCTGAACTGAGCCCCCGCATCCCGGCTAGCACGCCAGGAGCTGGCCGGCCCAGCCGTCCAAATTCTCGTGTGCACGGAAAAGGCAGTCTGTTTCGTGTTGAGAAACGGTCCAGTCAGAGCCAATTGGGGCCTCTTCACCCCACTGCATGGGTGATTCAGAAACCTCCCCACTGAGTAATGAGCAGAAAAATGTAAGCAGCGACTTTGATAAACAACAGGATGCGGCTTCCGCCTGGGGCAGCCATAATGGGGGGGGGGCCGGGCTGGTTCTGCCTCCCCCGGGGGCACTGGCGATGTCTGAGACACCCTGTTTTTCACAGCTGGGGTGGGCCTCGTGGACGCAGGCCAGGGATGCTGCAGGGAGTCCTGCACGGGCCGGCTCCTCCCGCGGTCCTGGACACAGGACTACCCAGCCCATAACGTCGGCAGTGCTGAGGTTGAGAACCTCAGTCTAAAGCATCCTTTAGGGGTGGGGCTGGGGGGCGGATATCTCACGCAGAAATTCCAGCGGACTGACATCTGGGAGGTGAGGGTGGTGTGCGCCTTCCCTGTTAAGCTCTGCTTATGCTTAGCAGGATGACGCTCTGACGGGGCCCAGTGCCTCCTGCGCTCTACTCAGGGGCAGGGCAGGCCCTCTGGCGGACGGAGCCCGGACTGCCGGGGCACGGCCTTCCCAGAGAAGGGCGGGGGCCGCCCGCAGCCCCGCGCAGACCAGGCCCACAGCCTCAGAGCACATGTGGGACATGTTAGATCTCACGTCTTGGAAATATCACTGTGTTTTGCTTTAAGCTTATTTCTCTGTCTTATGGGCCCCTAATTTTGCCGCTATAATTACTCTGTCATCACATTAATGACATTTAAGACCACATGTAAACCTCTCCACCCAAGTATATTCCCAGTCAACAAGATTGTTGGTTTTGCATTTATTCTCAGCTGCGTTTTTCTGTGCAGCTCTTAAAATTAGTGAGGCCACGTCTAGCTACCACGTGACAAAGTCTTTAGCGCAGTACGCACACACAGCAGGGACTCAGTAAGTGTTGGTGCAGAGTCTGAATCCCTAGGCTTGATCCTTCCCTCCCAGCCAAGGCAAACAAGGCTGGATTGCCCAGCATCTTCGCCCAGGAGAGCCTGGCCTCAGGCAGTGAGGCAGGTGCTGCCCCCCATCCTTCTGGCAGGCACCACCTTAGGCTGACTCAGCGTAGGATGTCCCACCAGTGTGCCCACCTAATGCTGAGAGAGTGGATGGGAAAACCGTGACGTCCTCTCTTCTCTCCCCTCTGTCAGGCACGTGACAGTTGAACAGATGTGCCCTACTTTCTTAGCACGCGGAGCTGCTTCCGAGGGACAAAACCGCTCAACACTCCAATGCACAACTCAAGTTCACCTTTGCTTTCATAGCCAGCCCCGGAAGGCGAGGAGAGGAGATGAAATTGTGCAGGACTTTGAAATAACGTGACATAGAACCGCAGAGATGGCCAGGCCTGAGTGCATCTTCCGTTTAAAATAAGGTTAACACGGAATCATTTACGACGTGCAGAAGGGAAGTAGGATTGAGCAGCGCTTGAAGGGGAAAGGTTTATTTGAATAGAAAAAATCATTAGTATTCTCTCCATCAACGGTGCTGTACTCACTTTACATGAATTGCGTTAAGAGGGTTGTTGGTCTCTATTTTGTTTTGGGGTCTTTGTGGCTCAACACAATCAGGCACGCATTGTGGACAGCCCAGGAAGCCAGTTTGTATAAAAAGGACTCCTGGCATTGTGCTGATGGGCAAGTGCATAGGAACATATCAGAGCTCATTCACTATGGAAAAGCTGCCTTGTGTCAATAAATGTCTCAACCTCTCAGAAGCCTACGTAGGTGCGCCTTGAGAGAGTTCTGGACAGTGTCTGCGGATGTCTCAGGTGTGTACTGATCGCAGGGCGCAGAACTCACATGCACACCCAAGGTACTGCTTTTGCCACCTTGATCCTTGGTTTCGAAACACAAACATCAGTAATTTCTAAGAAGCAAATGATGCAACACCTGAAGTTCATGAGACCAGGAGCAGCAGGTATTAGAATTCAGACTTACCGTAAATTCTATCATCCTGTTATAACGACGACGATGATGATAACAGCAAACAGCCCTCACTAGGTGCCAAACTCGCCCCACTCAAAATGCTCTGCATGTTAGGTCCGTTGATCTTCATGACACCATGATGTAATTACTTTCACCATCCCCTCGAGGGCACAGAGACCGACAGGTCAACAACACACACAAGGACACCCAGCCTGTAAGTGGGAGAATCACCGAACGTCCAAGTGTGCGTGCCCTTGACCTCCCCGGGACGCTGCCTCTCACTTCCAAGGGGTGGAGCCCTAAGGCTTCACTCCAGCTCACTCCCATGCATTCTGCAACCTACAGATCATGAAAGACTGAGACAGCCGTGCAGAGTGGATGCGGCTGGGCAGTAGTAAATTTAAAGCCCAAGTCATGGGATCTGCAAGGAAAATGTGTGGTTTTGATGGCAATCTAGGCTCCCTAAACGTTACAGTGAAGTGTTACTGGAGAAAGTGGAGGTGCCCAGGACACTGGATCTGGGCTCCTTTTCTTGTGTGTCCCCTGCTATTCTGCTCCCAGCTCTCGACCCCCTGCCTTTGGGTTGGGGTTGACTCCACCTAACAATCACGACTTCTCTTCAGTAGCGTAGTTTTGTTCTATTATTAGAAGTACTGTAGTTTGTTTTAGCAGAAGACTCAGGTGAAAGTGAAGCAAGATCCTTAAAGTTACGCGAGTCTATGTCTCCCGGTCCTTGATTCTAGGGAGGAGGTGGGGCCGACGCACGTCTGCCAGGAGATGGGTAGGCTGTCCTGACACGGAGCCTGTTTTGTGTTCACGACAGACAGTTACAAGAGCATTAGCGCTCCTGTGCTCATGTTCTCATGTGTATGTAAGTTGAAATCCAAAAATGCAGCAGGATTGAGACCAACGTTTGACATGAATAGAGCTTATTTTTAGAAGGAAAACTGATCGGCATGGAAATTTTAATTTTTTCCAGCAGGAAAACTCAGTCCTCTCGCTGTGTCATTTGTTTAAATTAATTGTACGAGAGAAGTTGTCTGTGAAATCTTATGAAGGATCGCATGCTTGACTACCCTTGTTCACATATGGCATTGATCCTGGGAGCAAGCTCATGGAAATTTCCTGCCTCCGGGGACATGCAGCAAGCCCGTGAGCCCCTCCTCTGGATCACCGCAAAGCCCATTTCCCCACGGTACTCTGTGTCCCAGGAGGGGAGCACCCGGGGAGAGCCGGGGAAGAGGGAGGTGGAGGGGTGCAGAGACGGAAGAGGAAGAGGAAAAGCATGCTGAGGACGGTGAGGCCTCGTATCTTGACGCCTCTTCCTGCCCCTTCCCGTCTCCAGCAGCCAGGAATAGAAATGCACATGAGCGGCATTGATCTCAGGGTGGTGAGTTCAAGCCCCACGTTGGGCGTAGAGCTTACATTAATTGATTGATTGACTGATTGACTAAAAGGAAGAAAAGAGAAGTGTTCCTGATACTTCCGTCCCCATATGCTTCACCAGCAGAGAGAGTCCTCGTCTGCCATCCATTGTGTCCCCGGGGGTGCTGACTTAGCCCCGTAAACGTACAGCTTGTTGAAGAGCAACACGGTGGAAGGCTCGTTTACTGGCCGTGGTGGGGGACTGACCCCGAGCAGCGTCCTGCCCGCTCTCTGCGGCTGCTGGGAGATGAGAACCACAGAGACCGTTCCTCCCCACCCCTTCTTTGTGGTTCCACGAGATTATCTGAGCACCAGCACGGAGGAGAGCAGGCCTTGCTCATCAACACGATGACTGAGAATTCCTTCCCTGAGACTATAACTCAGTATTATTCTCAAAATAAGGAACTTGATCCACCAGTGCTTTCTTGAACTAGAAGCAAGTCTAACAATGGCAATCCCAGGAAACTGATCCCACAGAGAAGAAATTCATTCCTTGACGTTTCTAGACAAATGCTCAGAACCTCTCTCTGGGCCCTGCCATCCCCCCTGCTCAGACTGCAGCCTGGGCTCAGGGACCAGTAAGCCTGCCTCACGGCTCAGAGTCTCTGTCAAGACTCTTCTTTCTCACCTTAAAAAATAATAATAATAATTTCAGAAAAAGATTTGTGGATAAAAGCAGCCGGCGCTTGCTGACAACAGGACCAAACAAACCCTGAGTCTGAACAGAACGTGCAGCTGTGTGACCCCAGGTCAGGCCTGCCCAGCTCAGGGGGCTGGTGGGAAGCCAGCAGGGTGCCTGTGGGAGCTGCACCTCCCCGGTTCTAGGACTGCCCTCCCGGCCTGGGTGCCCCCTCTCCCCTGCACACCCGCCTCCCCGCCTCCCCGCCTCCCCACCCCCAGCGCCCAGCCTTGTCCTCTGGCTTCGGGTCAGCCCCGCCACAGGGAGACCCCACAGGAGGAAGGAAGAGCCCCCAGCTCCTGTCAGGTGCACCTTCTGTGCAGTTGCCCCATCCGGTCCTGTAACTGCCCCCGGGGCCACCGGCAGGAGAGAAGAGGCTTCCTGCTTCCAGCTCCACGGTGAGGGTGATAAAACAGATTTATGCTGAGAATACATCGTTTTGATCATGAAATTTTATTCAAAAAAAATGAATCTACCACTAATTTTTTTAAAAATCCACTAATGCATTTTCACCTTCTCAAATTCCAAAGACAAGGTCACAGTCCCGAGAGACCGAATGAGCCCATGCGCCGTTGGAGCAGAAGGGGTCTTGAACCCCACTGGCCAGCTCGCAGTCCAGGCAGTGCTTTACGAACCCCCACGCTTCTGGAGAAGGCTGCAGAGAGCCCCTCCCTCTGAACGCTGCATTATCTGCTAGCTTCCTTCAATAATAGAAGCAATCCTGGCGTCCACGCTAGAACTTTAGTGGAGTAAAATGTAGCAAGAGGAGAAAAATGTGTCAAGAAAGGGAGCTTCACTTTGTGCTTGTTTAACAGCGCTTGCCACTGGGCTTGCAGTCCTGGGGTGCCAGGGTCATCGGAACTCGGCTGCGGCCTTTAAAGCTGAGATGGAGAGCGGAGCGTGGGCACTGGGGTGATCTATCCTGACAGCGAAGGGGAGGGACGAGGGGCATCCAGGGGCAGCATTCTAACAGTGGGTCAGATGCTGCCAAGCACTCCGCTCATCTAAACGAAAGAGATCAAGTCTCACGCGAAGCTCTGCTTAGAGTCTGATGTGAGAGAAGGTAAAAGCAAATCTCCCTCCTACTCTGGTAGTCAAATCATGGCACATTCTCCAAAGAGCAAATATTTTAAAATTAGGTGAAACTAATGTGCAAGAACAGTATGAGGGATTCTTCCATTTTGAGTGTCGTTTCTAACGCATGTGCTTGGGATTCACTTGGATGGCGTCCCCCACCCCCACCGGTTCCACCCCATAGGGGTGGGAGCAAGGGCATAAGTAAACCACTTGCAGAGATGTCAGCCGTTATCGGCCAACAGAGGCTTCCCTGTTCCAAGCAGGCTTCTATTCACGGCACCTTGTCCTGTCTTTGGAAGCCATCTGTTTTCATGGGTGGAAGGATTTTATCTGTTATCCTAAGACATGGAATGCAGACGCTGGGTGGCGGAGGGGAAGGAAGGTTCGTGTCTAAGCCACGGTGGCCGACTCAGCATGCACGCCGGCCCTGGCATCTCCTGGGGAGGACCAGGCCCTCGGTCCCACGTGGCGGCCGGTGTGTTGCTGCCGGGTAAAGCAAGAGATGTGCAGAGAGCCGCTCGAGGCTCATTTTGGGCAGAGCGAAGAGCATGGGCCACCCACTCAGAGCCTGCCACGGTGATTGAAAGCACCTGCTGCTATTTGGTGGTGCCCGTGTGAGCCCCCCAAGCCCACCCTTCTCTATCCAACCCTGTAATATCTTAACATTCGTGTCTGAGGCTTGTGCCGGCTTTCTTTTTTTAAGATTTTATTTATTTATTTGACAGCGAGAGAGAGACAGTGAGAGAGGGAACACAAGCAGGGGGAGTGGGAGAGGGAGAAGCAGGCTTCCCGCGGAGCAGGGAGCCCGATGCGGGGCTCGATCCCAGGACCCCGGGATCAAGACCTGAGCCGAAGGCAGACGCTTAACGACTGAGCCACCCAGGCGCCCCTTGTGCCTCCTTTTTGTAAATGTCACTCTTAGGCTAGTTGGGAAAGAGGATTGCCTTGAACTTCTAGGCAACTGTCACTTATCCTGGTTGAGCGTGAGCTGCAGGGGAGGAGGGGGGAGGAGACAGAAAGGGTCCGAGCCTGCTGATGCCATCCCAGAGCCTCATGTCACATGCTCTGCTTGTTCCAGATCATCGATAAGAGTAAGAGAGACCCCTCAGAAGAGATCGAGATTCTCCTGAGGTACGGGCAGCACCCGAACATCATCAGCCTCAAAGACGTAAGTGGGTTCGTGCAGCAGTGATGTTCCCTGTGCTCCCGTTTCCTCGCCTGGCACCGAAGCCGGCGTTGGTTTGGTACCGGCTTTCTTCACGGTTCACTGTTGCCGCCCCCGGGAGGGTGTGCCAGAGCCGGCCCCCACCGCGTGCCCCTCAAAATCACCTGGCGGCTGCCTGAGTTCCCGGCCCTCTGACAGCAGCCCCCTCCCCGCCACCACACTCCCAAATCACGTAACGTGGACTATGAAGGAGGAAAAGAAGCTGGTGCAAATTCTCAGCCAGATGTGTTATTGCTCGGTGCCATTCCTAAACACAGCAGGAACGGAGAGTCCTGCGTGGCTGAGACGGGGCTGGGGCGGCTCTGAGACCCCAGACCAAGCTCTGGCCGTGGGGCTCCTCCCAGCTTGCTCTGCCTCTGCTGGGCAGTGAGTGGTCCCTGGCACGGGACAGGGAAGGGGGCAGGGGTCCAGCCCCTCAAAGCCCAGCACAGCGCCCAGGGCTGTGGTGTCGGGGGCCAGAGGGGACACAGAGCCGTCTCCTCGCCACCTTCATGCTCACACTCCAGAATGATTCCAGTGTCGTGAACCCAAACCCTCAAGATTTGGGGGCCGCCTCGACTTCCCGCTGGGCCCCGTCAATTCCTGGAGCAAGGGGACTGCAAAATGCCAGTTCACCTCGGAGCAAAGTGTGAAGTGAGTCCCTGTGTTAACCCGTGAAGTGAACCGGCTTTCTCCCCGTGGATCCCAGGCACCTCCGTGGTGCAGCCCGGTCCTCCGGCCGGTTTGGTGTTTATTCATGTGTTAAGATGCACAAGCAGAAATCAGCTCATTTGAAAACTTCTAAGCTTTTCAAACCACTTTCATTATGTTGGGGTGAGTGATTCTGAGCCAAAGATGGCATCGTATGTCCATTCTCAAAAGTAGAGCTTTTTTTTTGAGGCATAAACTGGAAATAAATACACCAAAATCAACTTTACATCTTGCATTGAGCTCAGAGTCAGGCAAATTATTTTAGTGAATTGTTCTGGAAACTCACTGATTCGTAAGCTAAAAATTACTCGTGTTTAGATGCTCGGCCCCGTTTCCACGAGGTCCTCCGAATGCCTGGGCACCGGTGTGCAGGGAGATTGCGGCCCACACGAGCATGTCATGGAAAGAGCCAGAGCAGAGGGGTGTGGGGCTGTTGTTTAAGCTCATGAGAGTGAAGGTGGTGTGACAAAACTCTCTTTTTCCATTGCTTTCCTGAGATAAGAGCACTATTGCAAATGGCAGATTCTGTCTCCCTCTGCCCCCCCTCCCTGCTGGGCTCCGGAGTCTGGCAGCTCTGAGGCTCGTCCACGGTGCAGGGGGAGGGAGGGCCACTGGGGCCGGCTGGACATGACCCAGGCCTGCTGGCCCGGACCCTGCCTGCTAACGAGACCCCCTGGGGCTGTGCACACTGAAGTCTGAGGAGCTCGGCTCTGGGCCCACAGCCCAGCTCCACCTCCGAAGTTCTCCATGGCAGAGGGAGGTGGGGGCCCAGATCAGGACAAGTCATGTCAGCTAAAGTCTCACCTTGCAAGCTCCTGGCCTCGCTGACTCATTCCCTGCTTTGCAGCAGATGATTAAAGCTGGTTTTCCCTAAGCACCACGTCGGGTATGACTGGAATGGCCATTCACTCACTTTCACCCAGAGCCTTGTTTTCACACCCGGGAGAGCACTGAGCCCCCAGCCACTGCCCTGGCAGGGGCTGCCTCCGGGGCTGCCCTTCTCCCCCATGGCAGGCAGGCCTGCACGGGCCGCGCGGTGTGGAGGCCGCCAGGGTGACCGCATGCTCCGTTCTGCGCCTCCCAGGTCTACGACGACGGGAAGTTCGTGTATCTGGTGATGGAGCTGATGCGTGGCGGAGAGCTCCTGGACCGCATCCTCCGGCAGCGTTACTTCTCGGAGCGGGAGGCCAGCGATGTGCTGTGTACCATCACCAAGACCATGGACTACCTCCACTCCCAGGGGGTAAGCAGCCTGCGGCCGCACGGCCAACACAAAAACAGGAGAGACCGGACCGGGAGAGAGTTCCCTGGCTCCAGAGCTGGGGACCCCCGTTGTCCTGGCTTCCTTCTGTGTCACCGCCGCCCCTTCCGTGTCTGAGATCATTGCACACACACTGTGCCCCGCAGCTAGTAGGGAAATTAAGTTTACCTGGACCAGTTATAAAGAAAAAGTATTTGGGCTGGATAAAGAGACATGTTGCTCTATTTACAACTGAATCCTTAGCCAACACAAAGGAATCCTGCAGAGAACAGAGACAGTGAGAGCTCGCTTGGCCAAGGCCCTTACCGGGTTCCAGGCGCTGCTCTGTGCCCTTTGCTCATGCAGCCCTGAGCTCCAGATTACACCCGCTCACAGACCGGGAGATTAGAGCAGAGGGGGGTTAGGCATCTTGCCCAGGGCTGGTTGCACACGAGCGAGTGGAGAGCTGGGGTTCCTGGCTGGCTGTCTGCTTCCAGACCATCACCCGGCACCTCCCGCAAAGCAGACAGCGCTTCTGTGGCCCGCCCTGCCCTGTGGTCATGAGCATTTAAAATGCAGCCACTAGCCGGCTCTGTGGCGCAATGGATAGCGCATTGGACTTCTAAAATGCAGCCACTGGGGCGCCTAGGTGGCCCAGTCGTTAAGCGTCCGCCTTCTGCTGGGGTCCTGGGATCGAGCCCGGTGTCGGGCTCCCTGCTCAGCGGGAAGCCTGCTTCTCCCTCTCCCACTCCCCCTGCTTGTGTTCCCTCTCTCGCTGTGTCTCTCTCTATCAAATAAATAAATAAAATCTTTAAAAAAAATAAAATAAAATAAAATAAAATAAAATGCAGCCACCTCCGAACTGGAGGATGTTCCTCCAGGACCACACCACAGGCCTTTCTGTGGTCACCCGGTGGTCTGGGAGTGCGAAGCGTTTTCCCAGAACAAACTCTAGAGGAAACCCGTGGGATGATGGTTTTTCCAGATTGGCTTCTATTTAATGAGGGAGGTGATAGGCCTGGCCCCAAACTCTCCTGCTCCCCTGCCCTTGGAGCCTCTGCCAGTGTGTGTCCCTTCAACTTCCCTCCATCTTCTTCCCCTGTGTTTTAACAGCACAGCAGGTTCCAGGCTGTGTGAGGGCACCCACGTGTGCTCCCAGTCAGCCTCTGTCCCTGTCAGACGAAATCGCTGTGTGCCCCCAGAGAGCTGCTTTGCTTTGAGATGTCAGGATGGCTTTCGCCTCCCCCATCCCTCGTGCTCGGAGCGCCCTGCGCCTCCCCCGCCACAGGTGCAGGTAGGGCTCCTGTCGATCGCTTGATCGCTGCCCAGGAGTCACCTGCCCCATGACAAAGGCTGCGTGTCTGCCTCGCTCTCTAGTGAGCCCCTGACAGCGCTGGAGCGTTCTGGGCGCACAGTAAACATCTACCTGTAGAAATCTTTCTATGCACGTCACCTGAGTTCAGAGCGACATTTCCTTGTATATAATTCTCTCGTTTGGGGTAGCTTCTTATTTACTTGAGTGTCAATACAAGAGCAAGAGAGGAAGGAAGACCCGCCCTAAAGAACATAGCGTCCCAGCGGACCGGCTTCCAGCTGCAGGACCTGCTCAGGGTCACAATCCCAAAAAGCCCCTTATATTCTGAATGCTTCCCCCTTCCCCTTCCTGCTTCAACCTCGCCCACTGCCTTTCCAGGTGGTGCATCGAGACCTGAAGCCGAGTAATATACTGTATATGGACGAGTCTGGAAACCCTGAATCCATCCGAATCTGTGACTTTGGGTTTGCCAAGCAGCTTCGAGCTGAGAATGGGCTGTTGATGACACCCTGCTACACGGCAAATTTCGTTGCCCCGGAGGTAAGAGCTCCGAGCTGTGGATCGTTTGGTACATCAGAGTCATCTTGATTTAGTTGAGCTGTCATGTCAGAGAGGAGAAATGAGTCAAAAAAGAACCAGCCACTGACCTTGCTCAAACACAGTTATTTTATCATTCTCCTATTTGTAAAATTGTTAATGGTGATGTTTTTATGTAAAATTGTTACCATGCAATAGACCATTTGGATCAGCTCCGTGTGCGCTGTGGGATTTAATATGAGGGCCCGTAGTGTTCTGCACAGGAGGGCTCTCAGCCGCATCCAGAGCCTTGGAGAATTTCGGCAGCACCATCTTGCACATCTGGCCCTTCTCAGGCTCCCTGGGGATGGTTTCGTTAGGCTCTGAAGTCACTGATGTGTTTATGAGGCAGACCCAGTTTCTTGCTTTAAGTATCAACAAAACCTGAGAGGCCACTAGAGCAGAACTGACTCGTGGCTGGTGGGATGAGGGGTCAGGAAGCAGAACAGATGTTGGATTCTGTGCGGATCCTTCTGGCTATTGCTGAAACTGGACCAGGGTTGCAATGAGGCGCACAGCAAGTCCGAAGAGAAAGGTGTCCGACTCCTGATCTCAGCTCAGATCTTGAGCTCAGGGTCGTGAGTTCGAGCCCTACATTGGGCTCCATGCTCGGCATGGAGTCTACGAAAGAAAGAAAGAAAGAAGAGAGGAGAGAAGAGAAGAGAAGAAGAGAAGAGAAGAGAAGAGAAGAGAAGAGAAGAGAAGAGAAGAGAAGAGAAAAAAAGGAGGTCCCCGGGCAGCAGTAGTGGGTCTTCGAACTGAGAGGTAGCCCCCGCCATCGGTCGCGAGGAAGGCAGCAGGGTGCTGAACCGGGATATGGATGGGCATGGGGCCCCCAGAGGTGGGCTGCGAAGCCACTTTCAGGGTACCCAGATGCTATCTGTAGCCCCCTTTAACATAATCTGCTTATAAGCCTCTTTGTTGCCTTACTTGATCAATATTAATATTGATAGTATTGATTTTAGTGATTATAGAATATCTTAAATTGGTATATTACTTTACCATTTACAAAGCACTTTTACCAATAGTTTTTACTCTTATCTTCACATGCCATATGAGGTACACAGGGTAGATACTACTGGCCACACTGAATGGATTAAAAAACAAAAACAGATTCAGTGTGTTCAAGTGACTTTTGAAGGTCACTCAGCTAGTGACGCACGGGCTTAAACAACCACGCCGCTGGCCCAGCACACAGCATCAGTGATACGATGACGGAAAGGTGGCATCCTTGCCCTTGTGTCTAAGAAAGTTGAACCCAGCTCTCCTGACTCCAGATCAATGCTAAATCCAGTAATGTACAGTAATCCATGAGTATTTATGCTGCTCTCTTTACTGTTGTTCAGCTATAACTACATCAGAGGATTGCCCTCTGTTGAGGTATGTAATCCTAGGACACATGAAGATTCTTCTGTTTTAACTGTTCCTCAGAAAATTAAACACAGGATTACCAAGTAATGCAGTAAGGCCAATATCCAAGGGCACTGAAGGCAGAGACAAGAGCAGCTGTTTGCCCACCCGTGTACACACCAGCATTATTCACAATGGCCGGACGGTGGAAGCAGCCCATGTGTTCATCAACAGCTGAATGGATGAACGAAATGTGGTGCGTTCATACAAAGGAGTATTGGCCTTAAAAAGGAAGGAAATCATGTCCCACACTACAACATGGATGAACCTTGGGCACATCATAAGCAAGGCAGAAAAGCATAAATTACTGTATGATTCCACTCATATGAGGTCCTAAAGCAGCCAAATCCACAGAGACGGATGGAGGAGGGTGGGAGCCAGGGGCTGGGGGCGGGGCGTGGGGAGTGGCTGTGTAATGGGGACAATTCCAGTTTTGCAAGAGGAAAGAGATGGATGGAGATCATTGAACAACTGAACTGTGCTCCTAAAACTGATTAAGATGGTAAATTTTGTGCTACGTATACTTTGCCATAATTTTTTTAAAGTTCTGCCTTAAAATAAGTGTTTCCAAGCTATCTGTCACGTATCTAGCAAGAGCTGTGGTTCCCATGTGTGCGCTGGTCTTTGGGGAATCCTATTGCAGAGCATCATGGTTGACTTGGCGTTAATAAAGGATATCCCCCTGTTCCCCACCTGTCCAGCTCATGGTCACATCAGAACAACACCCTATGAACTTGAACTTTCTTCACCAAGAGCTCATCTGTCGTCTGCTTTCCCCCTCCAGGTCCTGAAGCGGCAAGGCTACGATGCAGCATGTGACATCTGGAGTTTGGGGACCCTGCTGTACACCATGCTGGCGGGGTAATGCACACTCTCCCATAGGGGTCAGCATGCGATGGCATGTGTGCCCGAGACATCATGAGGCAGACATCTCAGGGGCTGTCTCTTCAGCCCAGGGTCAGCCCTGCCCCGGTGCCACGGGCGGGGACGCACACTCACAGGTCTTGGGTAAACACCTCCTTAGCCCTTTCAGGACAACTAAAGAGTAGGGATTAAGAAAGTTGGCCATGTTTTCTTTAAAATGTATCTCCAGAATTAGGGAACTGGAGCACAGAACTCAGCTCATCAACAAAAAACCCAAGCCTCTGACCATCTGTCCACATTCTTCCTGGCACCAGGCCGCCCCCTTAAGGGGTCGCAACATCTTCTCTTAAAAACATCCTCTTGAGTTAAGAAGCACCCCTAAAGCCTTCGAGGTCAAAGAGCACCTCAAGAAAGGCAGCCAGGTAAAAGCAGGTGACTGACTTGTGTGGCCGCCAGATGAGACAGCCGGCCTTACAGAAGGAGGGTTGGGTCTGCTGTGTGCACATCTGCTTCCAATCCGAGGTGTTCCCCTCACCAGCTCTGTTTCTGGCCTGGACTCCTTGACCTTTATTGGCCTCACTTCCCTCACTTTTGAATGAGAAGAGGACACTGTGTATTCAAGGCTTCCAGCCTTAAAGGTCTAGGATCCAAAGAACCCCAGAGGGACCTATGTTTTTAAATTTATTAAGGATTTGCACAGAAGGAAAAAAGAGCTCTAGACCATCCAGCCCTGCTCACTGTAATAAAATGGACAAAAGGCCCTGGTAAGAATGAATGGGAGTAGCCTGTTTTTTCTGTGGCCTTAATGAGGCATGTCGTGATGAGTGAGTGATCAGTGTCTGTAGTGAAAGGAGGTGGACGTGTGAGCCTGGGGCTGTGCCTTGAGGACCACAGTAGCAGGGAAGGCATCCCGGACCTTCCTGACGTCACACCGTTGGATTGCCCTGCGATTCTTCTGATACTCACGTTGTCTGTACATAAACCTCAGATCACCAACCTGGCCACTAAAGGAAGTGCCGTGAGGATCACATACAATTCCTTTTCTAACAGGCATGTATCGACATGCCCTGGATAATGTTGGGAGCTGATGGAATAACTCACAGTGGGGCAGATGCGGATGGCATCTTATATGTGTCCATGTAGATCCCTGTGAGTGTTTTATTCTCCCCATTGTGCAATCAAGTCTTAAAACCTTAATTTATCAGAGAACCAGAGTTGGTAATAGACCAACCATAGGTCTATCAGACTTCAAATCTCAGGTTCTCCTCCATTATACCACAGTCTCAGTGTGGAAACTGAATGACCAGGCCAACCATTGAAACACTCGGTCACCAGGGGAGCCAGGAAGGGTCCAGGGATGCTCATGCTTCGGTCCTAGAGTTTTCTACACTTGCCTTATCGACCTACACCAATGACCAACTTAGGAAGATGGACATAGCTTAAGAAATAAGTGACGCTTTCCCATGACTCCTGAATTTGGAGCGCAATGGCAAAGAAAGAGCTATTTTTTTAACAAGAGAGAGGCAGGGGTGCCTGGGTGGCTCAGTCGGTTAAGCGTCTGACTCTTGATCTTGCCCATTCCTGCTCTCAGGTTTGTGAGTTCAAGCCCCACACTGGGCTCCATGTTAGATGTGGAGCCTACTTAAAAAAAAAAAAAAAAGGCAACAACAACAAAAAGAGGCAATAGCAAGCTGTGAACTTTACTGTAGGTCATAAAATCAGAACTCATACCATGCATTCTCTCATTGCACAGATTTACCCCATTTGCAAATGGACCAGATGATACTCCTGAGGAGATTCTGGCAAGGATTGGCAGTGGGAAGTACGCCCTTTCTGGGGGAAACTGGGACTCAATCTCCGATGCCGCGAAGGTGAGTGTTTTCCAGTGCTCTTGCTTCTCAGGTGTGGAGATTCTGTATTAACCATTGTATTTGTGAGGAAGCTAGAGGATACCTTTCATATAAATAACTCAGGTATTTTATCTCATAGATTTTTTTTTTTAGCTTCTCAGTTAAAAAAAAAGTGGTTTTTTGCAAAAGTCTTCTTACAGCACTTTTCACATTTTCTACTGTCTTGGTGTACTAGGGTTCTCCAGAGAAACAGAATCAATAGGATGTGCATAGATACAGAGAAAGAAAGATTTGTTTTTAAGAATCAGTTCATGAGATTGTGGAGGCTAATAAGTGTAACATCTACAGAGTAGGTCCATAGACTGCAAACTCAGGGAAGAGTTGGCATTACAGCTTGAGTCCAAAGCCCGTCTGCTGGCAGACTTCCCTTTCCTTGGGAAACCTTGGTCTTTTTTATCTTAAGGCTTTCAATTGATTGGATGAGGCCCACCAACATCATGGAGGGTCATCTGCTTTAGTCCAAGTTGACTGATTTCAGTGTTAATCTCATCTAAATAAGACTTTCACAGCAACATCTAGACTGGTGTTTGACCAAACACAGGAGACCATGGCTTAGCCAAGGTGAAACATAAAATTAACTATCACAGTTTTAGTGATGTTGTAAACTGAGTGCCCTGAATGATCACAGACTGATCAAGAAGAACTCTGGGACGGAGGTGTCAAGGTGACAAATAAAATTAACTATCACAGTTTTAGTGATGTTGTAAACTGAGTGCCCTGAATGATCACAGACTGATCAAGAAGAACTCTGGGACGGAGGTGTCAAGGTGACACATAAAATTAACTATCACAGTTTTAGTGATGTTGCAAACGGACTGCCCTGAATGATCACAGACTGATCAAGAAGAACTCTGGGACAGAGGTGTATTTCTGTTACTTTAAAACTCTTTGCACTGAGGCTTCCCTGCAGCTTCACTATTTGTGACCAACCTTGTTTAAAGAGACATCAGACTTAATCTTTTTCAGTTGAGATCATCAATTCCTCTCTAATCAAATAGTCAATGATAACACCACCACTCGGAAGAAGCAGCCTCAGTCTATTTCCTGTGTTGCCGTAAAATGACTGGGAGAGGAGTAGCCCGTCGGGGTTCTGATTCTAGTACTGCCATCATCATCACTGTGTGACCTCATACAGAAATGGCAGAGGGGATGATGGAGGAGATGGTAGAGAAGATGATGGAGCAGATGGCAGAGGGGATGGTGGAGGTGATGGTAGAAGTGATAA